CCATTTCCCCTTCTTTAAGGGGGTGAACTGCTATTTATCTTTCCAGACAGTGCAACTACCAACCCCCCCCCCTCTTTTTTGGTCTTTTTGAGACAGGGTCTCCTTGTAGCCCCAGCTGGCCTGCAACTAGCTATGTGGACCAGGCTGGCCTTGAACTCAGAGATCTGCCTACCTCTGCCTCCCAAGTTCTGGGATTAAGGCATGTACCACCCTGCCCAGTTTTTCTTATCTTTTTTTGGTCATATCAACTCCTTTTAGTACATTAATTAATTAATTAATGCTTTCTTTCCAATGTTACCACAGCACTTGTATACCCCTTTACCCATCTTACTATAGTAAGTGTTTGACTGGATGCTTACTCCTCAGTATCATTACTGCACTGAATGGTTGAACTCAAGGTGAATTCTCTGAAGGTAAGGATTGTGTTTGTACTTTCTATAGTTATTATAAATGTCCAATTTGTCTAAAATTTGTACTTGTCTATAGAATCAAGAGGAAAGGCCTTCCACTTAAAAAAAAAAAGGATGGCCAGAGGGTGAAGGGACTCACTGCCAAGCTGGTGATTTCAGTTGGATCCCTGGGACACAAATGGTGTAAGGACAGAACAGACTTTGGAAACAAAGTTGTCCTCTGACCACCACAAATATGCACTGGAATATGCACAACCTCCAAGATAAATAAATACATATAAAAACATATAAAAATAAAATACATGTAAGAAACCCAAAGCAATAACAACAAAAAACTCTCAAACAGGTGCTGCCTCAGTGGTTAAGAGCACATACTTCTCTTGGAAGTTTGGTTTCTAGTACTCATGTGGGGTTGTTCACAACTGCCGAAAAAACTCCAGCTCCAGATCAACACCTCTGGTCTCTATGGGTCCCTGGCACTGACATGTAAATTCTCATTCTCTCATATTCTCTCATATTCTCTCTCTCTCTCTCTCTCTCTCTCTCATTAAAAATGACAAAATAGATCAAAACCTCTAATCTCTATGGGTCCCTGGCACTGTCATATAAATACTATCTCTCTCTCTCTCTCACACACAAAATTTAAAATGACAAAAATAAATCTTAAAAAAAAAAAAAACCCACACAAATAGCCAGGCCAGGTGAGCACCTTTGCCAGCACTCAGGAGACAGAGGCAGGCAGATCTCTGTGAGACCAAGGACAGCCTGGTCTACATAGTGAGTTCCAAGTCAGCTGGGGCTACAGGGAGATCTGGTATCAAAACAAAACCACACACAACCCCCGCCCCCCAAACAAACAAGATTTTTGGGATGGGTACACGTCACTGGTAAAGCACTTGCCTAGCAAGTGAAAAGCCCTAGGTTTACCCCACCCTTACTCTGCACCATAAAACAAGACAAAAAATGAAAATACCCACATCTTCTTGCTTTCAGGAAGAAAGCTATAATCACCATGTTTGTTGGTTATGTATTGAGCATTATCAGCTATTTATTTATTAATTTATTTTACAGTAATGGGATGGAACCCAGGGTTCCTCATACCTGTTAGGTAGGTAGGTGCTCTACCACTCAGCTATATCCTCAGCCCTGAGGAGATCAGTTAAAAAATTTTATTTTTATTTTATGTGTATGAATGTTTTGCTTGCATGTATCTAAGTGTACCACATGCATGCAATGTCACAGAGGCCAGAAAAAAACCGTCAGATCCCCTGGAACTGTAGCTATGGATGGTTGTTAGCCACCATGTGGGAGCCTGGGTCCTCTGCAAGAACAGTCAGTGCTCTTAACAGCTGAGCCATTTCTCCAGCCCTGAGTATACCAGCTTTAAAACCAAAACAACAGAGTATTTTTTTACCCCTGAAAGAAACTTCAGATATTCCATCCAAATTTCCTAAGGCCTAACTCACTGGTCAAGGTCATAAAATCAGTAACTGAGCCAGGCAGGTTTGGGCAGACCATTTCCTCATTTCACTGGCATGCTGTTGTAATGATGTTTAACAGACATTCTTTGGACCTTCACCCACAAAGAGAAGGCCCCATTCACTTCTGCAGACAGCAGTTCTCACTGCTTTGCATGTTAACTGAGTCTGCACACCTTGTTTTGTAGTAGTGCCACAGGTACAACACTAACCTTGTCTCACTACTTCATGAGAAAGGGGGACATATTTTATGTTTACAGATGATTAAAGACAGATTAAAGCAGCAAACTACTGAACTGTGAATGTTTTGCCACATTTTTCATTTTAGAAGCATGCTAGTTATTATTCAAGTCATCATGAGATAAAATACACAGATTCCATTTTCAGTTTTGCATATTTCTTTTTTAAAAAAATTATTTATTATTATTGTGTGTATTGCCTGCATGTAGGTAAGTACACTCGTGTTGTGCAATGCCCACAGAGGACAGATCGTATCCCTGAAACTGGAGTTATGGACGGTTGTTAGCTGCCACGTGGGTGCTGGGATTCAAACCCAGGTCTTCTACAAAAACAGCCAGTGTTCTTAATTGCTGAGCCATCTCTCCAGCCCCACATACATTTCTTTCAAAATTCACAATGTCAAAGGTTTACAAATTACATATTTTCAGTACAAGCAATCAAACAGAAAAATGTAATTAAGAATATTTGCTTTGAAAAATATTTTATTTTTTTATTTTATGTGTATGAGCGTTATGCCTCCATGTACGTAAATGCACCCGTGTTGTGTGATGCCCACAGAGGACAGAAGAGTCTGTCAGATCCCCTGGAAGTGGAGTTATGGATAGTTGTTAGCTGCCATGTGGGTGCTGGGATTCAAACCCAGGTCTTCTGCAAGAACAGTCACTGTTCTTAATTGCTGAGCCATCTCTCCAGCCCTTGCCTTTTTTTTTTTTTAAATTCAGACAGGGTCTTACTATGTAGCTAAGGCTGACCTCAAACATACGGCAATCCTCATGCTTTTATCTCCAAAATTCTGGGATTACAGGCATATACAACTATGCCCATGCCTACTTAAATATTCTTGTTTGTTTTTTTGAGACAGGGTCTCCCTGTAGCCTCAGCTGGCCTCAATCTTACAAGAGATCCTCCCGCCTCTGCCTCTACCTCCCGAGTGCTGGGATTAAAGGTTTATGTAGGCTACCAGACCCAGCTAATAATATTCTAAGGGAGCTTAGAAAAATACATAGTACTTTATTAGTAGATGTACATATGCTTACAAAATCTCCTAGCTGATCTCAAAAGTTCCTTACAACTTGATGGATTTTCTTTTCCTGGACATGAGACAATGCAGAGACCTACTTCCAAGCAGTAGATGCTGTTGTGAAAAGGAATGTAAGAAACAATGGGAACTCCAGGCTCTTCTGTTCATTTTATTCGTTTGCTTTAAAAATGAAATAACTACAAACCACTGACAATGTATTTCTTAAAATTCATGTCAGATTACGAAGAAATGAGGTAAAAATTTCATTTACTAATCTTTTTTGAAGTCAATGTAGTTCTACTAATATTAATATGTAATTTAACTTTTATTACTTCCATAGAATTATAGTAGTAAATTACAAGAAATTACACTGTTCCATGTTTCAGCAGCTCTGTCTGTTTTAATACAATTTCTGTTAATCTAACGGAAATCATCTGTTATTCTGTCAAGCCTACCCTTGCATAGCACACAACTGTTAAAATGTAAATTGTGGAACTATTTTTAGCTGCTGCTGAAAAAATATTCCTGTCTTGAGGAATAATGATTTGAGGCATTGTTCACTTTGTTTAGCAAACAGCTATTCAGCCTCTAGTGGGCCCAAGTGCTTATGCAAGCAAAAGCTTTTAAGTTGCCTGCAGCTGTGATCCAACCTTCCAGGTAGGCTGCAAGTTCAGAGTACAGTTGCCCTATGCTTCCCAAAACTCAGATCCGACTGGAATTGAGTTTCAAAAAGAATTTTAATTCAACTTGAGAGAGGGAAGGCAAACCACCAAAAAGATGATTTCTCTTCTTTAACCTTACTAACAGATTAAAAGGCTCTGGCCCATTCTGCTGCTCCTTCTAGACTGCTACTTGCCAAGTAGGATATTCCATTCAGTCCACACTTAGATGAGCTGTGACTCATCTGGCAGCACCTGTGGCCCATGTGTTAAGTACAGCCAAATAAAGGCCCAACATCCATTTACACAACAAAGAGATGTACCCTACAAAGCACAGGGCCTCAATCCAACAGCTTCACTCCCATTCCTTTTGGCAGAGCGATGGAAAAAGACCCTCCCTTCCTTGCACCAGAGGTTATTAAATTGTGGGTGGATTTATGATGTAGGTTTATTTCCAAATAGTTTTACTGCGTTAAAGAATATTTAACAGCACAAACACTCCTACAGTATTAGATTATTACAGCCATTAATGATTGTTCATCAAACCTTCCCAACCTCCTGCATCAAAGCTCTCTATTCTCAAAGGATACGTTCTTGAGCAAAGAGGGATCAAACTAGTTGCCTGAAAGCTTTCCTGATGCTAAAGTGAAGGTAGGGAAGGCTTAATGAAGGCTTTAAAATCCACAAGGGCTTCACAAGAACATCTGACTTGGTGATTTATGCATATTAATAACCTCAGTCCTACTGAGGCAAGCTGAGCCTAACATGTCCTCCGAATCTTAATGTCTTTAGCTCCATTGGGATTATTACAAATGTAAATTTCTAAGATTCTCAGCTATTAATCTCTGTCTGTTCTCCTGTTCAGCAACATAATGACTAATTAAACATCAAAAGACCAGCACAGGAGATCTTCTTTGACAGCTACAGGCCTAGTCTTCTTCCCAAGAGGGAAATTCAAATGACAGGGACTGAAGCCAGGGCATATGAGTAAGCGACAAATCACTGCAGAGAAACCTAAAAGCCTAACATTAGGTGTGGATTTATCTCAATCAATGATTTTGTTAAGCAGCGAACAGTTAACTATATAAAGTATGCCCATTGGCACCAACTGAATGCATCCTTGTAGCAAGCAAATACTGAATACTGACATCAATTTATTTAACATCAAATTAAAAAAAAAAAAGGTACTTACAGAAGAAGGCAGACCAGGAGGCACCTTTCTTATTTTCTTTGCTTGCAAAGGATCTGCACATGGGAAACAAAATATTTCATTAGCATTTACATTAGAAAAAAAAAAAAAAGACTTCCAATGAATATTTTAAGTGGTTCCAGCTCAAGGCAGGTTTTCTAATAAATTGGGGAAGATAACAGCAAATGAAGCCAAACAAAGAAAACAAGTCAACAGCACAAACAAGGAGGAGAATGAACATTTCTTAAGACTCTCGTATGCCAGGTATGATCCTAAGTACTTTACACATGTGTAAGTTCACTGAAGAGAGCACTCTGTGCAACAGGTCACACTAACATGACACTTACCTAATAAAGAGACAAACTGCATCCTTCACCATACCCGGAATTAGGTTTAAAGGCATATTAAAAAAAAACAAAAAAACAAACAAAACCCAAAAACCCAACAGTCAATGCTGTAACTTAATATGCTAAAAATCTGAAGAAAACTATAAGGAATAAAAAGTTAAGGTCATGATCATGTCAAGATGTGTTACTATGAAATAAGCCCAACATACACATCTAGTACCAAGGACATTCACTTTACTAATGTGTGATTAAAACCGCAAATTCAGCACTACCATACAATTTGAACTTGAATGCCTGCATTCTTTGCCAAGAAAGTCAGAAAATGTATTTATTTTATTTTATTTTTAATTATGTGTATATGTCTGTGGGGAGGTAGTTATGTATATGTTGAGTGTGGGTGCCTAAAGAGGGTGCTGGATCCCCTGGAGCTACAGGGGATGGGCGGTGAGCACCTGATGTGGTGCTGGGACCTGAACTGGGGTCCTGTGCAGGAGCAGTGAGCACTCTTCACTCCTGTACCATCATTCCTGCTCTGAGAAAGCACATTTCTAAGATACATCAATATAGAGAAAACATGACTTTTCATATCCCTAACTTAGTATTCTAATTTCCCTCATATGTAAAACTTAAAATTTGCTTATTTTATTTATTGAAAAATAAGTGACAAGACAATTTTCTAATCCTGCACTAATAATAGATCAAATTCTGGATTTTCATAGGGACTCACTAAGCTAATTTACAGTGCATAATTTTAAATACTGTAAAAATGATAAATAGGGAAAGTATTTTCCTAGGCCACAAATGATACTATACAACAAAATATGGAATTTTATAAAGAATGAAACTCATTTAATTTGGTCTAGGGATTCTCTAGAGGGACTATCCCAGAAGGCTGTAAAGCAAAGAAAGCAACTTTTTAAGCAGCATGTGGAAAAATATTACACAATAAAAAGGGTAAAAAGCATTCATCAGTGTGGCTGTCCCTTCCCCAAGAGGTAGTCTTCATTTCCTTAAAACAGAAGTGCCAAAGATAAACACCATCTGGCATACTCTGAATTACCATTGTTAGTGGTGCAATGTTATCTACAGCGTACCTCCTCACAACTTACCTAGCATTCCTTGAGCAAAAGCCACACTTGATATAAAAATAGTCAAGTGAATGGCTCCTATCATTTGGAGCCCACCACCCCATTTTAGTCATCTGAATGAAGGTTTTTCTTTTGTATCTCATCATTAGCTACCACTATACATACACAAAATGTCTGATTTAAAATCATGAGGCTGGGAATCAGTCCTGTTTGGGGAAGTTGCAAGTTGTGATAAGAGTAAACTGGCTGGATTAAAATTCCATACGGCACCCCTATGAACCAGGACAGGTAACTTTAATCTCTTTGTACTTCAGTAGCCTCATATGCAAAAAGGGATGGGCAGTTCCTTTCTTGTGAGTTGTGTAGTGTGAACATTAGGTTCCTGGCAGGCTTCTAAAATGGTGGTGTAACTTACCCCTGGGGAAAGTCCCTCTGCTTATTGGGAGAACAACCAATCCTGAGCTAAACTAAACTATCCAGCCTACTCATAGCAAGTTACCCAACCACCTAACTGCCTATAAAAGATGCCTGACTTCCTCTGCTTACTGCTGTTTCTCTGCTCTGCCAGAGGGAGCCAAGCAATCTATTTGCTCTCAAATAAACTGCTGTCCCACAGGGAGGTGTCTAGTTGGTGGTCTTCGCTGCACACTTCCATACAGTGGTTAAGATATGAAATTTGCTTATTGTAGTGCCTAACACATGTGACACTTAAGAAACTTTAGCCCTTACTTAAGCATCTAGTAAAATGCAGAATAAAAAAAAAAACAGTCATAAATTACATAATTAGTTACTGAGCTCCAGAAAGTTGATTTCATTTTTTTCATTTTTTTTGAGACATGGTCTCTCTGTAGCCTCAGCTGGCCTGGAACTCACAGAGATCTGCCTGCCTCTGCCTCCCAAGTGCTGGGATTAAAGGTGTGCACCACCATGCCCGGCTAAACCCAGTTTTAAGAAGATGCAGTGTGTAGAGCATCATGCCCAGAATGGTGAAAATAAGCAACAGTCTCTATCATAATCAAAATGAAAAACGATTTTCTTTAATAGTTTAAGAAAACCTTGAATTTTAAGTCGATTTTTATAAAACCTATGCTCAATCTCTTCTTAGTTATTTCAAGTTGTTTTCCTTGAACTTTTAAAAAAAATTTATGTGTATGAGTGTATTGCTTGCATGTATGTGAGCGCACTGGTGTCATGCAATCCTTGGAGGTCAGAAGAGGGCTTCAGATTCCCCTGGAACTGGAGTTAAGGACAGTTCATAGCTGCCATGTGGGTGCTGGGAATCGAACCCGGGTCCTCTGCAAGAGCGGTCAGTGCTCTTAACAGCTGAGCCATCTCTCCAGCCCCTTTCCTTGAACTTTTACAAGCAGCACACTGGCAGGGATGAGTGATCTGTGCCATAGTATGTGCTCACAGGATCTATGTAGAGATCCTGTGAGATGTAGAAACAGTTACAGCTTATCACAGGGTCTCTTTATAATGCTCTAGAACTAAGCAACAATGTGAGTTTACTATATGCCATCAACTGTACAACTTACCATGAATTAAGTTTGTGATCTCTTTGTTTTACCTCAAATAAAGGAAAAGTAGGGAACAGAAGTAATTAGTATGCAAAAAAACACTAGACTTAAGACTTGTAAAACCTTATCCCAGGTAAGCCACCTGCTAATTATATGTGTTTTCTTTTGAGTCTTAGTTTTTATGTTAAATTTAGGATTTTATCATGGACTCACAGGGCTACTGTGGTGTTGAGATAGGAAAATATAAAACTATTTTCTCCTTTTGGTTGTAAGCCTGAATTTTTAACATCTGAGCTCTCTCTCCAGCCTTCTAATGCCATTTTATAAACTGCTTACTACTATTTAAATTTTAGTTAAAAATTAGATGTTAATAGAACATAAGCTTTTCATTATAAGAAAAACTGGCTAAATTCTCACATGGAAGAACAAGCAAAATATCACACTGGTTGTTTGAAACCTGTAAAAACTATGGTGTAGAGGTGGCTCTAATGGATAGCAAATTGGACTTCTATTGACAAAAATCATGGCTTATAAATTGAGTACATGGCCAAAATGACTGATAGCTAAACCTTGAATACAAAGCTGATGAGGTATTTGTGACAGTAAGAAGTCTGATAACTCCATTACATAGCTCATGGATATAGGCTAATGTCCTGTACCTGAAATATTTACAGCATTTAAGATTAAAATTATGCAGGGCATGGTGGTGCATGCCTTTAATCCCAGCACTCGGGAGGCAGAGGCAGGTGGATCTCCGTGAGTTCAAGGCCAGCCTGGTCTACATAGTGAGTTCCAGGACAGCTGGGGCTACAGGGAGACTCTGTCTCAAAAAAAAAAAAAAAAAAAAAAGATTAAAATTATTTTTTAGGGACTATCTGTATATACATAATGAAATATCTTGTGGATAAAGAACCTAAATGTAAACATTGTTTATTTATGCTTCATACACACAGTATCTATACAGCCCAAAAGAATTTCAAACAGTAATATTTTTAGAGTGTCTGTGTTATGACTGTGACCCATCTCATGAAATCAGATATGGAACTTTCTACTTGTGGTATCATGACAGCGCTCAAAAATTTCAAATTTTAGAATATTTTGGATTTTAGATTTTTGGATTAGGAGTACTCAGCCTGTATATTATGTGTATGCAAATGTACCTGACATCCAATTGATAATCACCAACTAAATTTCTTCCAATTAAAAGCAGAAGTACAGACCAAGGAAGGACGTAGGGGTGGAACTGTCATATCAAGTACTCACCTAGAGCTACAGAGTCATGGAGTGGTCTTCTCCTAGAGCTTGTGGCAGAGAATGAATAGTACGGTGTTCCAGGTTTTCCTGAAGAAGACAGCTGTGCTGGGCTCCCAAGTCCTAGATCTTGTCTCAGGAGACTAGACTACAAAATAAGGCCAAGGAAACAAGTTATTTTGCTGCTGAGACCCAAAGCTGAGATTTTCATCACTTCTGAATTACTCCTAGTGCCTTTAGCAATGTTTTAAACTGAAGAGGTAACCAGTAAGTACTTCTAAAATCAACTAGGCAATTGGTTTCAGTCTCTAGTCTTTTTCCTCACCCTTTCCTTGCCTGCTTTTTAGTAATTACGTAGACTCATAAACCTTAGAGGTGAAAGACATTTCAGTGCTATGTGATTCTATTCTTTAACTATAAGAATTTTTTGGAAAGCGGTCAATTGGCCTCTGCTTCAAGGCTTTCATGACCACACAGGGGGCTGATTCTGTACTTTTCCTTTTCTTTTCGGATTGCTCTTACTGTTTGAAGTGTCCATATTTCCAAGACTGGTTCCCTCCTACTTTCTATACTTGTTTCATGACATGGGCTTGAGGCTTTTCCTCCTCATCCCTGACATGGTCCTCTGAACTTACTTTAGGTTGTCAAGTCTTGTATAAAATCGTACAGAGGACAATCAGATGCACTTGATTACTGTGGAGGACTAACAAGCCATGTGAAGAGAAGGCTGAGAGTGGCCCTGTCCTGCCTCATGCTTCTTCACTCTGTTGCATGTGCTACTGTTTTGTTCCATCCTGTCATACTTGTTCAGTTTATGCTTCTTGGTCTCAAGTAAAAGACTTAACATTTATCACAGGTACCTTAGATTCTCTGATAAAATCTATCCTGGATTTGGTCTATAATAATTTTCAATTCCTGACTTCTTCAGATTCTGAGTCTGCTAATGAACAAATGTGCTAGGCTTCCTTCATGCCTAGGACTAAAAAATGTGAGTAAACAATCTAACAAGATGACAAAAGTTGGGGACAGAACCCTGAAGTACACATACACAGATCCATCATGACTATCAAATGCTTCATTGAAATGCAGAGATTCAGCAGCCCTAACCACTGACTCAATGATCCCACTATCAAGAAAATAAGGTTAGTTGGCAGAATTTGGCTCTAAGATTTCTAGCAGCTGAGATAAAAAGGGACCACACCAAAGTGAGAAAGGAAAGAGAAAGAGGCTTCAAAGGGGAAGGCTACATAGTACGTCAGAGGACATGCTCAACCATCTTTACTGCTTCTCCTGGTGCATTTAGTTCCTTACTGTCTCCTTTCAGTACTGAGTGTCATAACAATTAAAATAAACCACAGCTCTAGTCAGAAAGAACCAGCAGAACTTTGAAAGAGTCGTCTCCATTCTAATATTCAAGAAAAATTAAATTGCATGTCCTTTTCTACTGTTCCAGCACTAAAAAAAATTGAGGTAGAAGTTACTCAACATAAAATTAAACATTTAGAAGTTTTCTATCAGCTGGACTCAATACATTCATTGTGTAGTACAACTGTTATCTCCAGATTGCCTCGCACCAGATGAAACTCCACATCTTTTCAGCAGTCACTTCTCTCTTCTCCTGCTGCATACCTACTAAGCAGTAACTTCCCATTTCATTTTCCTCCAGTCCTTGACAACCATCAGTCTCCTTTTTACCTCTATGGATTTACCTATTCTGGGTATTTCACATAAGTATCACCATGCAATATGTAACCTTCTGTATGTGGCTTATTGCGCTTAGCATGTTTCTGAAGTTCATCAACTTTGTATCACAGATCAGTATTCATTCCTCAGGGCTCAATAATATTTCACCATGTAGCCATATCACAATCTGCCTGTCCATTCATCTGTCCATCTTTTAAACCACCATGTACAGCTATGCATAACCTTTTCTTTTAACACCTAAAATTTTATTTTTATTTTATGTGTATGAGTGTTTTGCCTGCATGGACATGCACCATGTACACACAATGCCTGCAGAGGCCAGAGACATTGGATCTATTGGAACTGGAGTTACAGATGGTTGTTGCCTATTATGTGGGTGCTGGAACCTGAACAGCAGGAACAACCAATCCTCCTAATTGCTGAGTCATCTCTCTAGGTCCTATACACCATCTTTTAAAGTAACAACCTTAAGCTGGAGAGATGGTTCAGCAATTGAGAGTGGCTGCTCTTGCAGAGGGCCTGCGTTTGATCTTCAGCACCTACATAGCAGCTTAACAGCCGCCTATAACTCCAATTTCAGGGGATCCTACACCTCTTCTGACCTTTGTGGGCATCACATGACAGGAGTACACTTTTTATCTGCAGGTAAAACACAAATACACACAAAATAAAAATAAATTAAAAAAATTAAAGTAACAAACTTTTCCACAGCAGCTGGAATATTTTCTATTCTTACAAAATCATGTACTGCATTCCAATCTCTCCACATTCTTGCTTGCACTTCTTATTTTGTTTGCTTGCTTGCTTTGTAATTCATTCTTCTGAGTCAAAATGTATCTTACTGTGGTGGGGTTCGTTTGTACTATCCTAATGACTAACAATATTGGACATCTTTTTATAGGTTTGATGGTCATATGAACAAATCTTTGAAACATTCAAGTTCTTTTTAAAAATTATTTGGTGGCTGAATTTCTCTTTTGAGACAGGGTCTCACTATATATACAGCCTTGGCTGGCATGGAACTCAGAGCTCTGCCTGCCTCTGTCACTCAAGTAGATGTACCAGGACTCACAGCTGGTGGCTGAATTTTAGGAGCTCCTTTTATATGTTTGGGATGCTCAGCCAGTAGCACATATACAATCTGTAAATACTTTCTCTCTTATTCCACAATTTCCTTTCATTTTAAAAATAATGCCCTCTGATGCACAATTTTACCAAAGGGTATTGTTTTGTTTTTGACTCTTTTGATGTCAGCTCTAAAAATTCCACTGTCAAACCCAAGATCACAAAGACAGAACCCTCTATCTTCTCCCAACTATTTCACACTTTTAGCTCTTATATTTAAAGTGTTTGGTATACTCCGGGTTCGCTTTAGCTGTATGTGAGGAAGGCACTGAACTTCACTCTTTCAAGTAGAAATTTACTTCTCTAAGTACAATTTATGAAGCTGAATTCTATTTTGTTTTATTAAATTTTATTAATAATGATTTTTTATTTATTATTATTTTGTATGTACAAGTGTAATGCCTGCTTATAGTTGGGTGCACCCAAGTCGTGCAATGCCCGTGAATATCAGAAGAGGATGTCGGATCCCCTGGAAGTGGAGTTAGGGATTGCTGTTAGCTGCCATGTGGGTGCTGGGAACTGAACCTGGGTCCTCTACAAGAACAGCAAGTGCTCTTAGCCACTGAGCCATCTTTCCAGCACAAGTTACAGTTTTAAAATGTTTTAAAAATTTATTATTTCATTTACTTATTTGTTGGACATGTAGGGTGCGTGTATGTGACGGGAAACACGTGGAAGCCAGAAGACAAGTGGGAATCAGTTCTCCTGCCTCAGCCTCCCAAATGCTAGGTTTCTTGATAGATGCTAGCTAAGAACAAATTTTCACTTTGTGATTCTCTCATCTAGTTTTTACTATGTTTATTGCTGCTCTTTACAGTTTCTTTTATCCTACTCCCCATCTGCCCCCAGTCTGAGCTGGCCTGGCACTCAATCTCATAGGGATCCATCTGCCTCTGCCTTTCCCTCTGATCATAACTTTTGCTATATCTCCAAAGTTTTGCTATGCTGTCTTTTCACACATCTAATGTTATGGTTTCTTTGAAACATGTGTATCAGTGCTGAAGCAAACATCAAATGAAACACTAAACCAGTCAAAGTCAATTGTGTCTTTCAGAAGTTCTCTTAAGAACATACTGTTTAGCCAGATATGGTAGTAAACACTTTTAATTCCAGCACTCTGGAGGCAGAGGCCAGCAGATCTCTGAATTCAGGCCAGACTAATCTACATAATCAGTTCCAGGCCAGGCAAAGCTACATGAGATCCCAAATAAACAAACAAAATAATAGAAGGAACATAGTGTTTTTCAGATTCCACAGAAGGTACATTATTCTTTAGACCAAGCTGATACCTTCCTTTACTAAGTAAGAAAGGTAGTGAAGGAAGTAGAAGAGGTTTCAATTGCCAGAAGATAGGATATATGCATAAAAGACTATCTAGTATCAGTGCAACTATTTTAGCATTAATTACAAAAAACCCAACAGATGAACAATCAACAAATCTGGAAAGATGTGATTATTAGACATAAAGGAGAAATAATCTATCTAAAAGAAGCGCTACAAGTATCGACAAAAGGGAACAAACAATCAATATAAATTTCAACATATATATGCATCCTTTTATTTACATAAACTCTGAGCTATGGACCTTCTGATGATACTTTTATATTTATTTATTTATTTTTTTTGGTCTTTTTGAGACAGGTTCTCCCTGTAGCCCCAGCTGTCCTGGAACACACTGTGTAGATCAGGCTGGCCTTGAACTCAGAGATCTCTCTGCCTCTGCCTCCCGAGCGCTGGGATTAAAGGTGTGCGCCACCATGCCCGGCAGGATGATACTTAAAATTTTTTTTTTTTTAAATGTGCACAAGTGCTTTGCCTGTATCTATGTAGGTGCACCATGCATGTGCACTGCCCTTGGAGGTTAGGTGAGAGCACTGGATTCCTTGGAACTGGAGTTGTGGACAGTTGTTAGCCACCACGTGTATGCTAGGAACCAAACCCCAGTCCTCTGTAAGAATAGCCAATGCTTTTAACTGCTGTGCCTTCTCTCCAGTACCAATACCATGTTTGAGAAAGCTGAGATCTAGAAATCATTAAGCCTTCAATAGATTTATACAGAAACTATAATTAATTGCCATTATCTGTTTTGCAGTTCTTTTTTATTTTTGTCTTTGACAGGCAGATGCGACATTCTTTTTTTATTTTTTAATTAAAAAATTATTTATTTAAAAACCACATACTTAGAAGAAGCATTTCATTAACCATGTTTGAGAAAGCTGAGATCTAGAAATCATTAAGCCTTCAATAGATTTATACAGAAACTATAATTAATTGCCATTATCTGTTTTGCAGTTCTTTTTTATTTTTGTCTTTGACAGG